TACACGAATGGATGGCGCCATGTGGTTTGGTGGTACAAAATGCACATCTAGCAAGTTTAGCCTTAACGAAAGGCGTGCAATGGGTACTATTAGAGACCTCCCTGGTTACACAGCCATCGATTCGATGTTCCACAGGAAACATTTCAGAGGAAGCGCAGGAATTGCCCGATTTAATCCTTCACCATCTCCCTTCCACCATCGGATGACCAGACGTCTCCTCTACTGCCCTCTTCTTTGTCGACAAACCACACATTGAAAGCATACGGTTTGCTTTAGCTTTTGTAATTAGTACAGCAATGGAGTGGAATAATTTGCCACCATCTCTCTTTTTAGCCGACTACAGTATCACCCATATTCGAGGCAAGAGAGAACAGGCTTTTGATAAGCTAAGTTCATCTCTACATAACCACTTACCATCAGGTGGAATAGGAGACAATGACTGACTTATCATAGTTAAGAAAACAATAGCTTATAGTTGAACTTGCATTGTTCTGCCAATATTCAAAATATATAGTAAAACACCTATTAAATACTATATAAATACCTACTAGCCACAGAAATAGTAATGATATCTTATTATTACGATTTCTGTGCTACTAACAATTAACATACATGCAATACAATTGTTCGTTAATCCCTGGTAGCATAATAATTAAATGTATAATAAATTGTTTTCTAATAAATAACTAATGATTCTATTACGGCATATCATAATATGTACTGTTTCGTACTGAATTCAAAAAGCCCAATCACCCTCGTTGACGCTATTAAATGCCATAAAACGTTAAACAAGGGGAACGTTATGCAGGATACTTTGAAAGTATGTTATTTCGAAAAGAATTATTTCTAAAAGGGATAATTGGAACCTTATGATTATTTTTAAACTTTTCACGATATCACCTTATAAGAAAACCTATTGGATCTCCTGTTTACTTAGTTACATACATGGGAAGCGCTTAAAATTATTTTTGTAATATTTTATTTTAGAATGATGGTCAATATAGAGACTAATTTTCGTCTAATTAGGACAATCTATAGTTACATAGAGTCTCGCCTGTAATCCCTAAAGGGGTAGACAGAGTTCAAAGAACAGCAAGCTACTGAAACCACTAAGCAACTCTAGTTATGGCACTATTACAATGTCACGTTACAATAGCCACACTATTACCACACATTAGGACAAGCAAACTACGCAAAATTTTAAGTGTCCTTGGACTGGGGAACAACAAAACAAAATTAGATCTGTTTGTGCTTTTTGTGATTAGATCTGTTTGTGGTTCCTCCTAACATTACTCTATATCTGTTCGACAGACAGAAGAAAATCAAAAAAAAATCGGTTAACCCCGCAGGCCATCCCTGGAACTTCCCACTAATTTAAAATGCAAAGCGTTCCAAATTTCACCAAATTATGTTGCGAAATCTCGAAGTTATGTTAAAAAAAAAAACTTTTTTTTTTCTTCAAATAATTTCTCCTTCGATATCCTCACGAACGAATGAACCGAGTTGAGGTTGATTTGTTTTTGAAATCGATCGGTAAAGCCGTTTGAAAGTTATTCCAAAAAAACATTTTTTTTAAATTTATTTTTGCGATTTCTCAAAATCTGCTCGTCCGAATCAGTTCATATTATCACCAAATCTATTCCACGTTGAGATCCTTAGAACGCACGCACATAATGGCTTCCTAAGTTTTCCTTAACTCGATTTACTAAAACTGGGGTGAAACCAATAATTTCCCGATTTTTGAAAATTTTGAACTTTCTTAGCTGGAAGCCTAAAAAGGTTTTTTCTGATCTTAGTACAATGCAAATAGCCCCCTGTGCTTAAAAGAAGGCAGTTATTTGAATATTACAGATAGACACTTCAATTTTATTTTTGTTTATATATACATATAAAGTATCAGACAATATGAGTTACATTGCTGGAAAGAGCCGCACTTATTTGAGAGGCTTTTGTAGCAGACAACGCGTTGTTTCAATGCGTGTTGGCTAAATGCACAAACGAAAACTGTGCATACGCACAGTTTATATTAGAAAAGCCAATCGATGACCTTATTGCTTATTCTAATGCATCGTACAATTTTTGTATTGTGAAAGAAATAAACGCGGTGACAATATTTAGCAACTTTGCAGCGGTTTGTTTAATTTTAAAGCGAGATAACATTCACACAACATGTCTTATTGCTCTGTTAAAAATATTTTGCAAACAACACAATCCATTAACGAGGGCAAATAGCTTACACCGCGCTGACATTATTACTCCTCGATTCGCTTTACAAAAAGCCTCTTTCATTATCGCTCCACATGATGATTTGTGGTGATTGTTCATAGTCTCGTTCCCGCACCCGGCATGGATAAACCACAACCACATTTTTTGTTTGCCTTTATTCGTACTGAGGACTTCTGTGGCTTTGACCACTACAGGGTGTTTGGACAGCGCCAGCAAAATTTTTCGCCTTTTACAATCACATGCAGATTTTAGAGGGGTCTGAGCGATGGCAGCTGCCGACATCAATTATATAGCACGCGAACCGTTTCGCACCTTGCACTCCTACTATCCAGCTACTTCCCCATTTAATCATTCATTACTGACAACGCTTAATTATACCGGAAATTCAATAAATAATTTTAAACCAAACAATACATAACGTATTTAATACGTTATAATTTGATAATATCGTCAAAAAGAAGTATAATAACATTTATTTAACGAAATGGTACGAAAATATATTAGTTAAGAAATGTACCTACTAGTAGCAGTTTACTTAAATACGTCCCATATCTTAAATTTTTAAAAGGTTTAGTATATGTCATATATAAAGTTCGCTGTAATACTGCAGTGAGAGTTGACAGACCGAGTCTTTTCATAAAATATATCTTTACCCCAAATATACGATACAAATTGGTACCAGGCCACGCGGATAGTCTTGCGATAATATTTTTCTTTTCTTAGGTATGAGTCTAGCCAGATGAAATGTAATTTCAAAATACGAATTTAGAATGTCCCTCGACATTGTTTACGAGCTAAATTGAAATATCGCGTTTCATTGAAAAATGGATTTTCGTCGAAAAAATTTTCGCACGATGGTTTACTTACAATTTAAATATCACCGAAAACCAAACGAATTGATTGAAGATCTAAGGTAACTATATATCGCTGTAATAACCTGATTTCAGCAACGTAGTGTAACTCTGAGTGACAAAGGAATAATATCACCGAATTTTTTTATTGAAGAATGGATCGGGAAGCATTCACGACATTTTACAACAAAACCTAAGCGTGAGGAAGATAATTTCTCGTTGGATGCCGCAAACGTTACCGATACTCAGAAGTAGGCCGTGTAATATGGTGTCATAACGTGATAACTTAATTTGAAGCAGCCTCATATCTCATGCCTACGAGCGCACTCATCTCTCAAAATTATGGACATTCTGGTAAGCACACAGGTTCTTCTAACAGCCCTGATTTGGCATCGTGCGACTTCTTTTTATTCTCTTAAATAAAAAATCAGCTGAAAGAGATAGAGTTACCATCGCCAAAAGATGTCTCAGAAGAGGTGTCCGAGGACTGACAGGATAGTGTTTCGAAAATATGATTCAGACGCATGAACTTTTGTATAAGGTCCTTGTGGTGAGTTCTTTGAAAAGATATAATAATAATAATAAAAACTTTAACCATAGAACTTTTTTGTTTCGCAAAGCTTTTGAGAGTTTATAGCCTCCCAAGCTTTCTCTTATCAAGTCAACTTTAATTTTTTTTTATATAAGTAAGGATGATAAACAAGCACACTGTCCGAGTAATGGTATGTGAATTTTATAGCCCTTCTACATTTATCGTCTATTAGAATCTAATAGCAGCCGCGCTTTTATCCCGAGGAATAAGATGGAATGCGTCGTTACCAATAAAATCTTCAGTTCTTGCCACTCATCAAACGGAACGCATCGCAATGCAAAAAGGATTATGATGCAATTTCACGCTGGTCTTCTATGCGAACGTGGCCCTTCCCAGGTCGAGCCGACCCGTCCGTACTGCAGGATTAATACAGTTGCAAAAAACTATTGTTAAAAAACTATTCATCAAAAGCGAGACATTTTACATAATTACTATATAGGGGGTTCCAAGCAATAGATAATTCGTTATGTATATGATGTAAATTAAAAATAATTATGTAAATTTTTAATTTTATAAATTATCAACTAAGATATAGAGAAAATGTTTTATTCGTTCGAATTTCAGACGATTAGCAACAGTCAAAACAAATTTTTTTTTTATAGAAGAGCGCCAACGAGCACACGGCTCACCTGATGGTAAGTGATTACCACCGCCCATGAACAATGCAACACCAGGCGAATTGTAGATGCGTGGCTGGCTTTTAAAAAGGAGTAGGAGTAGGCTCGTTCCTTGAAGGTCCCTAAGTCGTATCGGTCCGGAAAAATCTCTGGTGGTAGTCGATTCCACAAGGAAGTTGTGCGAGGAAGAAAACTTCCTTTAAATCGCACGGTGGTGGACCGCCAGTCATCCAGATGGTATGGATGGTATCGCGAGTTATGTCGCGATGTGCGTTATAACCGCACCACCAAAATGATACAATAACATATTGATGCTACAAAACAGAAATGTATCCCGGCTGGTTCAATAGTTCTGTCGTCAAATCGTTTAGATCTTTGCTAGCTCCTGCCGCATGTTGCTTAAAATGCTTTTGACACTATGAGATATAAATGATGGGTTAAGCAAATTTCAACAAGCGCTAGACCAATGTTGCTATAAATGGAAACTTTATTAAAAAGTTCAACAAACTAGCTAGAATTTTCACTGCATACTTAACCATTAACATTTTTTTTAATTTAAAAATTTATTTTATACTAAATAAAGAGCGCATACGTATCTCACGATTGCACAAGTTATTGACACGATGATTTGATTACCTATAATGTGTAAATGAGGACATTAATATCTGACCTTCTGGTAACGGATTAAGAGAATTCATTACTTGCCTTGTTTAGAGGATGACGAAGGAATCGACTATGAACACTATCAAGTATCAATGGTGACAGAAAGTAACGTCCAAGGGCAAATTCATTACTTGCCTTGTTTAGAGGATGACGAAGGAATCGACTATGAACACTATCAAGTATCAATGGTGACAGAAAGTAACGTCCAAGGGCAAATTCATTACTTGCCTTGTTTAGAGGATGACGAAGGAATCGACTATGAACACTATCAAGTATCAATGGTGACAGAAAGTAACGTCCAAGGGCAAATTCATTACTTGCCTTGTTTAGAGGATGACGAAGGAATCGACTATGAACACTATCAAGTATCAATGGTGACAGAAAGTAACGTCCAAGGGCAAATTCATTACTTGCCTTGTTTAGAGGATGACGAAGGAATCGACTATGAACACTATCAAGTATCAATGGTGACAGAAAGTAACGTCCAAGGGCAAATTCATTACTTGCCTTGTTTAGAGGATGACGAAGGAATCGACTATGAACACTATCAAGTATCAATGGTGACAGAAAGTAACGTCCAAGGGCAAATTCATTACTTGCCTTGTTTAGAGGATGACGAAGGAATCGACTATGAACACTATCAAGTATCAATGGTGACAGAAAGTAACGTCCAAGGGCAAATTCATTACTTGCCTTGTTTAGAGGATGACGAAGGAATCGACTATGAACACTATCAAGTATCAATGGTGACAGAAAGTAACGTCCAAGGGGCTAAAAACTCAATCTATAATTCTAAAACTAGCTCCCTTCTTAGCAGAGACCAAACCTAGCTGTTGATTGTTTACGAGCTAATAAAGAAGAAGAAATAAAAAGATCAATCCATATTTACCGTCCGCGTAATCATTAAAAAAAAAGTGAATTTTCAAATTTACTTTTAATGTACAGATAATCCGCGCAGAGTAAGGCCTAAACCCGACGCTGATAGATTTAAGTCAAAACTTTACGGCAAAATAGAATACTGACTCATTAAAAAAATTCTGGCGAATGTATTTGTCACATAACTTAATGTTGCATGACAAACGTAGAAGCTATAATACTATTAAGAATTGTGAGTCACTTTAGCGATTCCATGAGTCTCAAGAAATGCTCAGGCTGCTGGTACAATCTGTACCTACTACTCATTCGCGTTCTTGTAGCATTGAGTAATAAAGTGAAACTTTTTCCTTGTTTATGAAAGTTGTCTAAATTATCTATTATTAACAAACTACATTACCTAGTTACTTAACTTAAAAATAGACAAACTTAATTACAAAATGGCATTAACTTAGTGAAATAATCTTAAAAAATATAATGTGGTTACTTGTTTCAACTACGAATTTTTTTACTACTACTAAAACTTTTTTATAAACTCAAGACGGAGAGTTTAAAGAATTTAAGAATTAGAGAATCCCAATTCATTTTTTTTATCTAAGATACGTTAATTTGTCGTAGCTTGCGAAATTAATTTTAAATTATTATCCAGATGGACTCGGTGCATGAAAACTATTCCACCCAAATTTTTTAATGCGATTCCCTTCAAATTGTTCTACTGATGATATACCTGTTGCCATGGAGCAACTCAGTGCCACATTTTTTAAACCGATTTACCTATTGTTTAATGGCAAGGAATTGTTATATTCGAACGGGACAATTTTTTTTTGTTTTTTGATGAAATGCGAATATAAAAGATCCTTTGACTTTTTACCATAAAATAAATATTTACGGAATTAAAATTTTTAAATATTTGGAAAATCCCAAATTTATATACTTTTGACTCATAAAAATATATAAAAAAATAATAAAATGTAAAAGATATTTTTATACTATTTAATGTAACACAAATAAAAAAAGTTCTGACTTTTTCCGATAAAGTTAAAAATATATGAAGAAATGTATAAACAATATTTTTTTATTTCTCGCTTAAGGAAAAATAATCTTCCAGTAACCCTTTATTATTAATTATTGTCTAAATAATATAAAAAATATCTTTTATATCTTATTCCTTTTTCTTCGTATATTTTTAATGAATCAAGTATCCGAATTCAGGATTTTTCAAACCTTTAAAAATTCATAACTTCGAAAATATTACATTTAACGTAAAAAGTCATAAGATCTTTTTCATTCGTATTTCATTAAAGAATATGAACATAAATTACCCGTTTGAAAATAACAATTTGCTGCAATTGAAAAAAAAATCGGTTTAAACGTCACCGAGTTCCCCGTGGCAACATGCATTTATATCATCAGTATGACAATTTGAAAAGAATCGCATAAAAAAAATTGAGGTGGAAGTTTTCAGCACTTAGCGCCGATTCCTCCTGGACTATACATTAATTTATTATAAAAGCATGTTAGTTCATAATTAAATACATTCTTAATTTAAAACAATCAGTGAAACAGTTCGCGAATGTTCAAACCGAACACAAACATGTCAGTACTTATATACATTAATGATAATATGTTTCGAGCTGGAACCCACAGCGTATAAATAACTTGGGGTGTATTTAGCGACAGGTAATATCGGCGAGCGTGCAGTGATTAATCTCATTTCCTGTGATCGCGAGCGGCCATTGTGTAATGGGTGAAATACTTTGGCTCTCCGCCAGTGCAGACTATGCGAGATGATTGTTTTCTATATCAACGAATTCAAAATCCAATCGAATTGGAACATTATTATATTTGATTTACATATATCGTTAACGATAAGTCGCCAGGAAATTAAGTTTTTTTGTTTTATGTGACAAATATGAAGATTTTTTTAATGTGCTGACAACTTCCTAGAAGTAAGCAACAGTTTTTACAAGTATTCTGTTAAGCAATATAAGTTTCTATTCTATATATTAAATACATTGTGTACTCATTGATTAAAACATTAGAAATAGAAATTTATTTATTTATTAAATCTTTTTTCCTAATCTTTTCTTACATGCTACACGATATTCCTTCCAATCGGACCATGATAGTGAAAATTATATAATAGAATAACTTTTATTCAATATAGATTACTACGTAAAGCTTATTGAAAGTCATTTTTTTTACCACTGCTTTGGAAAAAACCTCTGAAGGAACAGAGGGGACACTTGTGTTGGCGTTGGCGCGCAAGTAAGGTGCAACTATCGGAATACTTTCATAAAGTCCCCTCACAAAGCTTTGAAGAATATTCGTCGGGAATGATTATCTTCAAAAATTTATTATGCCTCAAGTAACGAGTTCAGTTTCTAAACTCTAATAAAAATAGTAATACCTAAGCAGTGCTACAAGTTTATAGACATATTTTTTCATTATTCGTTTTTTAAGTATATCATATGTACAAAAAATGGTGGATTCTGTGACCCATAGCCATTGACACCTACATTTTTATCCTCGATGAGGAATAATAGTTTAGATACGTTGTCACCCCAACTGAGTGAGGACTAAGATAGAATGCCTCGTTTCCAGTTAAAAGGGTCAACCGTTGTCTACACAATTATCTACATTTTTGGAATTATCAATATAATTACATTTAAGTTAACACAAACTAACGGCACCCACTTCTTAACAAGTAAGTCATTAACAATACTTGCGTCTCTAATAACCCGATTACAGAATTTTAAGCCTCGATTGAGTTTAATGCAAAATCAATCATTTTTAGTTATAAAACCAAATTCAGAAAACTAAGTTATCACAACAAAAAATATCTAAGACATGAAATATCTTTATCAAAGACGACTATAATTATTAAGGACGCGTTTGCAAATCGAGCAAATTATGCTGTTTTTTGGTACATTTTGTGACAAAACTAAACCAACTCAAATATAACTAAAAACTACCATGTATAGATTGGTTCTTCATCTCCAAATGGTATTGACTCTTTTGTTAAAAATAATAGTTTTTTATACTGTAAAAAGGAACTTCCGTTGGCATTTACTACAAAATTAACGATACCGGTACATTACGGTCGGTACATTTTTGGTCTATTATCAACATATTTTAAAATTTCTAAAAATACTGTATGTAGGCAGACATATTCAATAATATAGACTCTTCGAGACATTCTGCTAGAAAATAGTGTTTATTTTCTAGCAGAATGCCTCGAAAAGTGGTAGAAAAAATAAAAAGTGATGCAATTTTTTTCACATAATTTGCTAATACGGATGAATCATAGTATATTGTGTATAAGGGATATTTTACTTTTGGTGCCTGTTTTGGATTTATTGTACATAGATTTCGATGGAACCACAGTCCGCGCTGGTAGTGTATATACTCGTATATTCTTTGGCGCTGGGCCGCCATTGTGAGTGGTAAGTGTACCACCTGTTTGCAGCAGCTTATGCTAAAAAGATCGCTGTGCATACACAAAATATTAGAAAAAACAATTTTGATTCTATATAAGTACTTGACAAAATAAGATAAAATTATTATTTTTATAGTCAGTTTTTTATTTAGCCAAAAATATACTTAGATACATAGTGTAATTAGACTTAGATACGAAATACTAATACGTACTTTAGAGACTTCTTGGCACTATATCTTAAAAAAAATTTATATATATATATATCCATATATTGACTACTACGGGAACTCATGGACGAGTAAGAACTAGGTGTGCTGAGTTTGGGCTCGTTTTATTAGTAATGATGAGACCATGCCTCCGGTTTTGACGGAGTGATCTGAATCAGTTGGGAGTAGTGATGCTGGGATTAGTGGTGACTGGATGGTAGTGCACGCAATAAAGGGAGGGCGGGGGGTGCTCTTCAAACTAGGTAATACGCATCATTTTACTTTATTGAGCGGATGGTTGCAAAGTAACTATTAATATCTTAACTTAAGAATATTATTTGCTATATTCAGTTTAGTTCTACACATTCAGTCAATTGATACTTTGCTTAGGAGTAGCAAACACGGGTCCATGAATCCTTTGACGAGCGGCGGCCTAACATTGTCCTTTATCGAGCGACCCCGACCCATATCTACCTCCCCTCGCATGAATAAATAAAAGCTCAATTTGTTGCTCGCGCGTTTAACCGACGCATCGATATAAACGTCTCCGTTCTAAAATGAACTTCCCCGATTCCCTTTCGACTCTACAACAAGTACGGTTCAGGGTTATGGTGCTTATGCCAGGGTTATGATAAACGCAATCTTAATTTAAGAAATTTGAGGAAGATTTAATTGAGCTCTATTTAACTATTAGTTAATTTTTATCAGTTAACAAATTAATAGAAGACGCTTTCATTGTAGTTTCCGCTATAAACATTTTCCCTGTTGGACTGACGAGTAACATCTAATAATAATTAATGATGTGATGAAGTAATGGCGGACGATAAAGGTATATCAAGTATTTTTTTATATAAGGGTGTCAAACGAGCACACAGTCCCTGATGCGATGGCAAGTGAATGATATAGCCATAGAAACCTACATTTATCTCCGATTAAGAATCAAAATTCAGATGCGTTGTCATCCTTAAGAAATAATTTGAAATGCTTCGTTACTAATAAAAAAGGCCTTCGGTTCTCTACTCTCACCATAGAAAAAAGCAGCATTATGCTGCTGTGTTTTCTTCAGCATTAAGCTGCCATTTTAATCTGGTATTCTGTAAAAGCGTTCTCCTTCTTCTGTGCAGTCGACCCATTCGTACTGCACCCATGTTACCGCTGAAGCGTGGCTCTACCGGGTACAAACAAACGCGCTTTCCTCTCGGGTGAAAGTTATAGCACAAGGAATCTGTGAGAGAAGATGGATGGGTGCTACCATCTGCTTGGGATCCCATAACTAATACAATTAAATCCAAGCTCAAGCATACCACTCCAAGACTTCAAGATACTATAAGCTCGTTCTGCGTAGATCGGACCAAAAATTAATATTCAAAAACTGAACGTAACCAGGTTAACTATGACATCAGGACGTTAAATCGCTCAGCGCCGTTGTGGACATGGGTGCTGTTAAACACCCGAAACGTCGGGAATTAAAAAGTTAAAATTAAACGCGGTAAAATCCGTAAAATTAGTTTCATTTAATATGTAGTTTTCGTGTAAATATAAGAAATCAGTATTCTTATGTTTTACACATGTGATACTAGGAATAAAAAATATTTTTTATTCATACTCGAATAATTGACAAATACGTAAAGTTTTCATTTCGTTATAATAAATGACAAGTTAAAATAATAAAAAATATGGATGATTTAATGAAGCCCATCACATGTGACAACCCTAGCACAATTATATTAGTCTCATAAGTGTACATTTAAAATGGTCGTGCTGTCAACGAGTTATGTTAAAACCAATCGTATACAAAAGCTGCCCGCTCTTGTTCGGGCCCTTTATTGAATTGAGTGGGGACAGCGTTGCCTTTATTATGAATGCTGTTTAATATTTAGTAGGAAATTACGTTCCTTAAAGCAGGTCATTCGCTTTTCTTCTTGATTTCTTTATCATGGTTCTTACGCAGGCAATTGATTACGAAAATTTTAGCGATGAATGCACATTTTATATTATATCGAATAAATTTTTATACATTTTATAATTTTATTACTTAATTACATTTTAACCCCTTGACAAAAAAAAAACCTTTAAAAGTAGTGTACAATAGATATATTATACAATAATATGCTGGTGAGACCGTTGCCAGTTAGTTTGATCAAGGATGGTGATCAAAATTGATTTTTTAGTTACAAATTATTTCAGACTCACTGTATTCTTTTATTTTGGCTTGACAGACTTTCAACCGCGACGAGCTATTACGAACAGAAAATACCAACCGTATATCCTTTTTACTTCCGAAAATAATAGCAAAAACATAGGTGCTTTATGAGAAATTGGGCGGTTTTATCAAAGTAACATTGAAAGAGCAAAGTCATGAGATGCGATTTCACCACGTAGGGTGCACGAGGTCAATCTCCGAACAGCCTTGCACCGCACTGTGTCATAGATTGTTTACATAAAGGATGCTGCAACGGTACCGCTCAGGCTCCGCTCCCCCGCAACAACGCATCACGCGCTTTTAAATAAATACAAGCTACGCTTGATCCTCGAGGGGGTTTGAACAGTCTAAAGAGTAGCTCGTTCAGTCGTTTGAACAGTCTAAAGTGTAGACTCGGCCTACATTTAGCCAAAAATAATGAGATAGTAAATTATGAAAAAAAAGCCAAAATAACCTAATTTACTATTATTATTAATTTTTTATAGGATAGGACGACAAACGAGCACACAGTCCACCTGATGGTAAGTGGTTGCTGTGGCCCATAGACATCTACATCTATCCTCGACCACGAATCTGAATCTGAAAATGCAGATGCGTTGTCATCCGTGAGGACTCAGGTGGAATGCCTCGTTTCCAGTAAAAAGGGTCTCCGGCTCTCTACACTCACCATACGAAACACAGTAGCATTAAGCTACTATTTGACGCTGGTATTCTGTGAGAGCGTGGTCCTTCCCCGGTAGAGCCGACCCATTCGTGCTACAACTATACTACTAATATAACTGCAGCATGGCTCTACCACGTAAATATATAATATAAGCAATATATAAAAAATATAAAATAAGCAAATATATAATATAAGCACCTTTAATACCTTTTTTGGAACATCACATCATGTCAATTATTTAAACAAGTAGAAAAGCAATAAGCAATAATCTTTTTCTCCAGTATGTAGTTACCTACTAAAGTCATTATATTATAAAATCCGGACAAGTGCGAGTAAGACTCGCGCCCTAAGAGTTCCGCATAAATTTAGATCAAAATAACTTTCATCGTAAAATAAAATTACTGAAATTTATAAATCATACGTAAGGTAAGCACCGAAAACTTCTTTAACGAAATGTTAAGACGGATTAGAAGACAACTTAAATTTGCAGTGGGAAAAAATGTTCCCAAACATTGGTCGTGTATATCACGTCGATAGGTACTCCACATGCAAATTAATGTAAGTTTGTAATTGAAAAAAATTCTGGCTTGTAACTACTGTTTGACTATTTTTGGATTTTTTATTTTACTTGTTTGCCTTGCTTCTTGCTAATTTCATGATTCAAGGTCAACGGTAAGTACACTGTAGATTTTAATGACGGTGTTTGTGAGTTTCAAAATATGTGACATGAATGGCTGTATTTTTTTTACTGGGTTGACTTAGAGGCATCACTTTTTTAACCCTCCAAGTGAACATAGACATTTTTGTATTTTATATTAGTTACGGACAACAAACAACAAAATAATCTTAAAAGGGGTTCCGTTTGTTGATTCTTGACGTTTTTGAGGTACGGAACCTTAAAAATAATTATGTTTTTCTTTTACAAACAGTAGGCCATTTCAAACGGCGAAAACCGGATTAAAACATTTAATACCCCATATACTTAATGTCAGTAAAAATATCAGGATCATAAAACACTACCATGAAAATATCTCTTCTTTCACATGAAACGTTTTACGATTTATTCTATATTTTATTGCAGTATTATAGTTTTTTCACCTGATGGTAAGTGGTTGCTGTGGCCCATAGACATCTACATCTATCCTCGATTACGAATCAAAATGCAGATGCGTTGTCACCCGTGAGGACTAAAATGGAATGCATCCTTTCCAGTACAAAGGATCTCCGGTTTTCTACATTCACCATACGAAACACATCAGCATTACACTACTATTTTACGCTGGACTTCTGTGAGAGCGTGGTCCTTCCCCGACTCATTCGTGCTACAACTAAACTACTAATATAACTGCAGCATGGCTCTACCGCGTATAAAAAGAGTTTATTTATTACGTACGCAACTTCTTAGTCCGAGTGACGTATTGAAAGTATCTACTTCTGGCGTCCCCTGGGGCAAAGGTACGGACTCCCTAAGATTTAGACAAACTCGCTTTATCAATCCATTATAGATCATAGCTTAATTTTCTTTATTTTTTATTTTATTTAATAGAATACGAGTGATAAACGAGGACACAGTTACATCTATCCTCAATTAACAATCAAAATGCAGATGCGTTGTCACCCCCGAGAACTAAGATGGAACGCCTTATTTCCAATAAAAAGAGTCTCCGGTACTCTACACTCACCATACGAAACTCTGCAGCATTAAGCTGCTATTTTATGCCGGTATTCTGTGAGAGCGTGCTACTTCCGAGATCGAGCCGACCCATTCGTGTTACAACCTCAATATAGTTATAGCATGGCTCCACCACGTAGAATTGACAAATCCTTCCGCTACGGTGGCAAATCTTTATCTCTAATTTCTCCATAGCACTTGATGAAATAAAATAATCTGTTACAATGTGCAACGTTCTTGGAACTGCTATGGAATTTAACAGCCGTATCGACTCTTATCGGCGAAGCTGATATCCCCCAAACATATTTGTAGGGGATATGGTCCTCTTTTCATATTTATGTTTATCGTATATAAAAAGTTTGATCCAAGGATTGATCTCAATAAACACATGAATTTCAAAGGTTTTTCTTTGCGTTTACATTCCCCCGATTTTTATTTTTAAATTAAACTATGAGAATCAAATTTCGTTAAAGTTATTAGGGCAGTCAGTTTAAAGTAGTACTTGAAACCAACCGCGACAATAACTAAGACAACAATCAACATCTGTGGACACCGAATATTGAAAATTGTTAGTTTTCATATTTTCGATATTATATATACGCCTTTGATATCAAATTTCAAGTTCCCAATTTCCAAGTAAACCAGAAGTGTCTAGTCTTTTGTTGAGTCAATGATTGATAAAAATGGCACTTATCAAAATCTTAATAACTCAAGAACTACAGTAGATTTATTTGGGGTTCTAGATATTCTAGGGATGCTTACGCAAAGTAATAAGTATGAAGTCTGATAGATTTTAAGTTACGTTATTCGAAAGTGGCTCGAAATGGTTCGTGTTAAACATGCACAATGTCGGTCCCGTATGCTTGATATAAATTCAAATGTGTTGAATACGTTTTAACCCTTTGTAACTCATGTTAACAAAAATTAGCCATATTACCAACATACGTAGACAGCAGTTAATTAAAAAACATATATTTTTCAAAAATTCCAATTTATTAAAAGAAATAGAAAAAATTTTATAAAAGGGGAGTGTAACATATCTGTAACATTGCATTAAAATGGTCAACTAACTCATATGAAACTCTCTAAAACAAAGGTTTTGTGGTACAACACATAATGCTATGCCACATTTCTCACAAACTGTTTGGGACATGCCAAAACAGTTTGGAAATTCATAACATATTCTTTTTCTTCCCAAATAGGCCAGTGGCGTACTTGGTCTTGTCTAATGGCCATTGTTGGAACATGTTGAGTTTTCCCCTTGTGGTGCTTTGTTTGAATTTCAGCTTCTGTTTTTCGGTGCTTCTTTAAGCTTGGAGCAATAATGAGTTTACAAATACAATAATGAAAATCTGCTGCACTCAACTTCTTATCTTCGCGATTTGTTGCCATTCGGACCTTTAGTACAACCAAGAATTAGCTATTGTAAGGTCTAAAAAGTGATAAAATATACGAACCTGCCAACGTTTGCTTCTGAGATTTATTTTGTACCTGCCCATGATGCTATCAATAAGGTCCACGCCACGCATGTGGCGGTTGTATTCTCTAACAATATTTGGACAATCAATATTGACATATCTTTTATTTTTGCTGTCATACCTTTGAACTTTATCTTCGGAAATTTCACCTGCGAAACTTGAAGCTAAATTGATAACTTCATTATACTTCCAGGCCACTGTAGCCACATCTATACCATATTCTACAGAATAGCCTCTAACTTTTTTGGACATTTCTTTCTCCTTTGGTAGCTTGCAGTCAGGTATCCTGTTTCGGTGTATAGTGCCACTCAGTATACTCAGTATACCTTGTTTTGCTAAATATTCAAGCAATGGCAGGGAGATAAAATAATTATCATAGTATAGTCTGTAATTTTGATGACATGGTGTATCTCGTGCCATTCGAATGACAACATTTGAAGATGCACCTAAAATAGGCTCTCCTGGCAGTAAAATATTTTCCATTCCAGGATTAGCTATGCTATTGTTGTTATTTTCGAATCCATCTTCACTGTCCTCACCAATACTTAATATTCTGTTTATTTCGACATCATTGAGTGGATGCTGAGCCATCCTGAAATAATAAAATTACGTGTGGCACTCGGTGACTGCCGCGGTAAAGCTATTGCATAGCATTTTTTATCAACTTATGCAATTATAATTATTTATTTATTTTATTTATGCAGTTAAGTTTTTGATATTAAATCAAGTTACACTTTTTGAGCGTGGTAACCGATAAGAAAACACTTTTTTTTTCTCTTATTGAATAAATGAGAAGTTAATATTGTTTAAAATATTTTTAATATCTAATATATATAATACATGTAGCATGTATAATACATATTTAATATAATATATAATACATGTAGGTTATTCAGGAATTTTTATCATTGAGTTAGGAGCTAGTGTACACACATACGTCTAGTCGCACGCACACAAACACCGTGCCGAAGTCTGCCCAGTGCCGAAGTCTGCCGAACTGAAACGACGTTAGACGATGCACGGCTTTCAACGCCACACCTCCATGCCCGTCGGAGTGGGGAGCGTGAGGTTTTTTTCGTTACGGAATTTCTGGATTCGGTCCCCGCGCTCAAGGCCCGCGATAGAAGCTATGCAATAGCTTAAAAATACACCCCTAATAATCATATAAATCATCATTCGAAAATTACCCATGTCACGCAATGTAACAGATCTGGCACAAACATAAATATTTTGATTGATTACGTAAAAACAACAGATTTTCTAAAAATTCACAATAATACTTATTAATTAGATACATACCTTTCACAAAAATATAAAACCACCAATTTTTAATGAAAAATAGAATTTTTATCGATTTTATTATGTGACAAACACTCTGCTCTAAACTCACTGAGAAATAATACAATGTAAGGTAAGTTACACCATCTAGATTTTTTGTACTGAACTTATTTCTAACAACAGTATGTAGCAGATATGTTACAGCAATCAGTAAAAGAAAACATCAATGATTTAAATTTTTCGGGGGATAAGTTCGGTTTGTAACATTTCTGTCACATGGAGCTACAAAGGGTTAATAATTAGCATAGGTACTAATGTCAAAAATTTCCCTTAGCCAATAAATTTATGCAATCGCAAAAGTCAATAAAATACTTAAGTAAGAAGTATTTTTTTAAATGTAATTTACAAACGAAATATTATTTTATTACGTTAGAAAAATAGTTTAAATTTATTTATTTATTAAATAAAACGAATACCTATATAAAAAGTGTACTTAAGCCGTGCGAAATGCTTACCAGTGAGGCTACTCTATGAAACTCTACCTTAATGCTCAAAGGTGACAAAATGATAATGCATCTAGGCTGTGAACTACAGTAACTACGTAGGAAATCGTTTAATTTAAAAGTGCACGCATTTCCCATATATTTTTAGTAAATTTTATCACTTTTATCATGTCAAATATTGTAAAAATACTATTATCTACTAATTCACGATAAAAAAGCGTACTAAACACGTTGAGATTTGATTTGCCACATTGTTATAAAAATATAACAACTGGGCACATTTACACCGTTACTAGCAACGGTGCAGTTTAGAAATGAGTGAAACCGTAGAATTTCAGTTTACAACAAATATGCATATCATTTGTTTGCGGTAGGATTACTCGGACCGCTACCTCGAGTGACTCATTAAGGGAAACCCTTTCGTGACTCGATTCGTTATCACACCGCGACATCGAAAATAGCCCTATTCATAATGTTATTTTCACTCATGCGAATCGACGCGGCGGCCATTTTAAATATTAGACGCGCTTAGGTGCAATTGGATTAAATTATTAAGACTTCCTTGTGACGTCGTAGGTGTCGTTTTATTCTTTCTTGTAGGTTTGTATTTAATTATATATAAACTACTCAAGTATACAACCAGTGCGTGTTGCCAGTGATGACTTACGGATCAGAGACGTGGTCCTTCACTGCTGGCCGGACGCTCAAGGTCGCTCAGCGAGCTATGGAGAGGGCTATGCTCGGAGTTTCTCTGCGTGATAGACTCAGAAATGAAGATATCCGCAGTAAAACCAGAGTGACCGACATAGCCCAACGGATTAGTAAGCTGAAGTGGCAATGGGCCGGCCATATAGCTCGAAGAACCGATAACCGATGGGGAAGAAAGGTTCTCGAGTGGCAGCCTCGTACCGGTAGGCGTAGTGTAGGGCGACCCCCCACTAGATGGAGTGACCACCTGGTAAGACATGCAGGAAGTCGATGGATGCAAGTGGCTCGGGACTGTGCTTTGTGGCGTTGCTTGATGATGATAATGATGAAACTACTCAAAACAAAATAGGGCTCACTCTAAATTAATCTCGAATTTAGTCTAAAAAAATTATTGGGTAGTAGAATAGTGAAGTTAAACATTTTGAAGTATTGTTGACATGTTTATCTAACGTTATCAATGTTTCAAACCAGGAATTCAACGGTGTGTAGACAAAAAAGTGAAGTACTCCAAAAAACCTTTATTACTCAAATTCTCAGTCACTTGTACCCTCAGTCACATTCTGAATGTTACAGTCGCACGTCTACTATTTTCATTTTGACTTGATTTCGTTGTTACACGCGATCATTATGGCTGGTTCTCGGCGTCATATGGATGTGGAAACAGCAACAAGAGCAGTGTTTACGCTTCAGGAGGGAGAATCTCAGAGATCAGTGGCAAGACGTCTTGGTGTGTAGTGACGAGCTATTCGAAACGCGTGGGAACACTTTCTAGAGACAGGTACAGGACACTGTCAGGAAGAGCGCGAGCTACAACCGTCCAGGAAGACCGGTATATCAGATTGACTGAACGTCGAGAGCGTACGATTCCCGCCCGCGTCTTACAAAATCGACTGCGGCAATCGACTGGCACACGAATTAGTGATCACACCATTCGAAATTGGTTCCATGAAGACGGGCAACGTTCCAGATCTCGTGTTATTCGTCTAAAATTGACAAGAGCGCATCGTGCAGTACGTTTGAGGTTTGCTCGCGAGCATGCGAAGTGGACAATGGACAACTGGAGAAATGTACTCTTTACGGACGAAAGTAAAGTGAAGTTTTTCAGTGATGATCGTCGAGTGCGCGTGTGGAGAAGAGAAGGAGAACGTTTTTCAGAACCTTGCATACATGAAACGGATCGTTTTGGAGGTCCAAAAGCTTGCTCGGTAAAACTGAGCTGGTAATTCTGGAAGAAGGCTCCATAACTGCCTCCCGGTATGTCGATCGAATAATTCGGCCCCATGTCATCCCAAAGAGTGGGTGAAAACTTCGTCTTCATGCAAGACAATTAGACAATGCTCGCCCACATACAGCGCGAACAACAACCCAGAGAGCTCTCTCTGAAGCCAATATTACGTTTTTACCGTGGCCGGCCATGAGGCCATGAAAAGAAGCCTCAAAACGAACGTCAGTAATGTGACTAATCGACAAGAGCTCATAAACGCTCTAAAATTATATTGGGAGCGAATACCCGAGGAAAACATCACCCAATTGATTCAAAGTGTCCCAGATAGATTTAGAGAGTACATACGGAACAGAGGACCTACTCCCTATTAAGCACCATCAAACTCATTCATTTAGTCAATAATAAAAATCAAAATCAAACTTTACTTAAATCAATAATTTCTGTAAACTTTCCTAAAAACTGTAAATTTTGACTAAATTCCACAAAATTGGCAAAACTTACTCTTGTTAATGTTGACACACTTCCAAAAACATTAATTTATTCATTCCTAATCATAAAAACTGAAAAAATAAAAAGAATCTGTAAAATTCATCAAGCAAAAAAAGACTTGATGTTGGTAATAAAGTCACAATTAACTTTTGGAGCATCACTTTTTGTCCAGGAGTGTTGGCTAGTCCATCGAGGTAGTTTCTCCCTCTTTCCTACTTTTGGCGCCAAGCAGCCAGCATGTAGAGCCGGTATAATTATTCGTAGTCGACTCGACTACCTCGTTGGTCTAGTGGTTGTAGTAGTGCGACTGCTGATCATTAGGTCCTGCGTTGGAATCCTTGGTCAGGCCAAAAAATCAATTATTGCGTTTTTCCGTCGAGAAATTTTCAGTAGCTGCCCGGAAGTTGGCGGTGTCTGACCCCCTTGACAAGGAAAGCACGTTAAGCCGTTGTTCCCGCGCCTGATCTCATGTCGTGTCGGTTTATCGTCCCATCGGATAATGAGAGTGAGGGAATAGAGAGTGCACCTGTGCTTGCGCATACACTGGGGCACTATAATCCTATCCTGCACCGATGGCTAGTCTCCGTTGAGGCAAGCCGCCGTGACCAAAATGAGGTATGGAGGACATTATACTCGTACTCATCTGCTATAGTCCTCGTATACCTGCAGCCAACTTCAAACTTCAAAGAAGGCTACATATGCGTAGCCACCTCTGAGGACTGTATTAATGAATCACAGCCTGTAGTTATGCTGGATTTATAACCCTTGGCCGGAAGCCGGAACACGGAAGTGCAAGCACTGCTATTCAGCGGCAGAAAACAGAAATAGGTGCCTTTTAGGCAGAAGTGTCTTACCACTTAGAAAATATACCCTTACTAAAACTAAAAATACACTAAATAAAAATTATCTCTTAATTTAGAAAAACTACTGCATAATAACATACAAATTGAGTCAATTATGTTTTCAAACACAAAATGAGCGTCTATTTAAATTAACAATACGTTGTTTTCGAAACACGCCAACCACACAGTTACTTACACGTAATTTTGTTTGCGTACAATGTGTAACAATATTATTGTATCGGGCCGCACGCACTGTGTATACACCATTTAGTCAGCCAGTCTAGTGAGAGACAAAATCCTCTGTCAACAAACACACGGTAGAACCTGTGAACTATTAGCGCTTTTTTTTTTTTAAATGATCCTATATCAGCTGTGTTTGTTCGAGTTCCTCTTTGTATCGGAAGTTACAAATAGGAACTTGAATTAGTATGAATTACCGGTATCTATGTTGTTACAATTTAACTGGAAAGCCTGCATAACTTGAAAGTCAGAACAATAGATCAATCTGAGAAGTTTTTGGTCCTGAATTTGAAACTTTTTTTTTAC